CACACACACACACACACACTCTTTTGTTTCCTGCTGGTCACAGAGAACATTTGTCTCGAGGGAGGGGGGTTATCACAGACCCATTTAGTACAAATGTAAAAACGTTGGGACGTATCCTAAGAACTTTATAAAAGAACCCATTTCCCCTCATCAAAGCACTAGAACCTCCTCAAAGACCCAAGAACCTGCTGAGAGAAAAGTAGAACCTCACATCACAGAAGAACCTCATCAGCTTTCTGTGAACACACCAGATTCCTTTGGTAACTAGAAACCGTTTCGCAGACTCACACTTACACACTGACACTTTCTCACAGAAAACTAGAACATCATCAGAGACCGTACAGACACAGGTATGCAGAGGGGGTTGACTGCAGTCTGTGTTTATGAGAACATACCAGAGACAGTCAGAACCCTGCAAGGATCATGTGACAGCAGACGTGTTGAAACGTGACAAACTTCCGATTTTCTCTGTTAGTCACAGAGCTGATGTCAGACGTGTTCATATGAACAGAAACATGTTCTATTCTATGTTCATTCTTCACATGATCACGTCTATAATTAGGTCTGATTATTCGAATGTCTCAGAGATGTTGATGCTTCGTTTCAACGCGTCAGATTCACAGTGCCTGGCGATAATTTTTCAAATTCCTAAAAATAAATGCTCAGCCTCAGATCTGAAGGATTCTCATTTCACTTCAGCTCAGAATCAGTGGATTGATCGACATCAACAATCAAACAGTTTTATAAAAATCAACAGCAGAAGAGACGAGGGAACTGAGAAGACGACAAAATAACTAATGTCTCGTTGAGTTTCTCTGTGTTCACACATCACACACATTCAACTTTGTTTGTACTTTTTCTTGGTTGTTCATGTTCATTCTTCGGAACATTTTTATAACGAAATATAAACTGTATCTTTATGAATTTAAATGATAAACACAGCACCAGTGAGACTGTTGCACCTGTGTAATTAGCGTGCTAATAGTTAATCACATGCTGTTTGTTTTCTTCTGCAGGGCACACACACACACACACACACTGCGGCTGTGTGTGTGTGTTAAGTGTTCTATGGTGATGTTCACTGTACCCATTAAAGCTAATTAGGGTGGCACTAACGAAGCCTAGCTCGACTTGCTGCCTTAATGACCTCACTGTTAACCATTAGCCACCTGATGAGCTCAGCGCTAACGCAGCCTAACACAGCCTAGCACAGCCTAGCACAGCATGCTATGCTAATGACTCCACCATTAATCTCTTAATGAGCTCAGTGTGAATGTAGCTTAGCAGTTAGCCGCTAGCTGCTAGCAGTCATTGCAGTACAGGGATATTCTAAAAGAAAAGTGACTTTAAAATGTAGATGAAGAAGTAAACATTCATCATCATCATCATCATCATCATCGTCATCGTGCTCTCTGGTTGGCTGCGGTCATGGACCATGTGACCAGACTGACTCACCGGCACACTTGGTCCTAGCTTGGAGCGGTGGTCCGGGGTTTCCAGTGCCTCCTTCCAGGGGCCTGGTGAGCAGCACGCTGATCTCGTACTCTGTGTCGGGGTCCAGGTGTCCGATCTTATGGGTGGGCTTATCCACAGGTGTGGTGTCAATCAGCATACCCAACATGGTGCGGTACTCCACCTTTTAGAAATGAACACGTCTTCTGTGATTAAATCAGAACTACAATACAATCAGCTTTGTCATTATGAGGTTTGATATTCAACCCAAACAACGACGGTAGAGCTGCGCAAAAGGACTTCAAACCAATATCAGGATTATTTCAAACTTTCACCTCGGGTATGATTGATGAACGAACATTATATACCCCCCTCCCCCCCCCCCATGGGGCGCACCACTCTGCTCATTCCTCAGTGTCTGTTGTTAATCATCACACTTAGAACTGATCGTTAGGAAAAGCTGCTGAATTCATATTTACATTCCTGGAGAAATGGGGGGGGGGGGTCGCTTCCTCAGCAACAATGAAGTTAAAACACTGCGTCATGATCTGCAGGAAGAGCGTCTGTCTGCCGGAGTGTGTGTGTGTGTGTGAGTGTGTCCTCTTCACACACACTGATGACCACATGTATTTAGTTATTAATCGATGGTGTCAGATGATTCATGTCCTGATTGTCTCGTACTGTGTCAACTATGTGCACGTGAAATGTTGGACTATGTGTTTGTGAGAATCTAACAAACACAAAGTCAACATCAGAGGCAGGTGGAGGGAGAACATGGAGACACAGACAGTTGGTGAATGGGGAAAGTTTTCACTGAATTAATCGACATGAGCAAAATGAGGTGGATGAGAGTTCACAAATGTGGAACCTGATCAGGATCCGTCATTGACTCTAGAACCACAACCGCCCCTTACTCACCTCTCTCTCTATGATTGGTCCGTCTCCATTAATGGAGTTTGCATTGAGCTGGATCCACAGGTAGGTGGCGCCCACTGCTGTCAGCTGGGGGGGGGCGATTGGTACAGGAGGCTCTGAGGGATAAACAGACCAGGATCAGTTTTACACACACACACACATTAACACTCGCACACAAACACACACACTCTTCTGGGTTTCACTGATCCCTCTCAACAAGAGAGGAAGGAGTTAACAAGTTAATTAATATTCGTGACCTTCGGCGGATCACAACAGACCTGGATTCCATTACCCAGAATTCCCAATGGTGCTGCTCTACTTCCTCCTGACCCAGTTCGTCACACACACACACACACACACACACACACACACACACA